TTGTTATATTTTCTTATATTTTATTATAAAAAATTTTATATTAATATAATTATTAAATTATATAAAATATTAATTAAAAATTAGTTTAATTATAATACATTAATATTTTTATGATACATGTGTAAAAAAGCACAGTCAGTAAACAACCCAAACGCAATCCTAGTGTTTGGTGCTACGCCAAACGCCATAAATCTTATTTTTCCGTATCCGAACAAGAAAACTCACCGCCTCCGGCAGCAGTAGTAGAAATCATGTACTCGCCGCAGCTTCCTTTAGCGCGTGCGCGCTTGCCAACCCCATCGGAGACAGACAATTCCCAATCCGGATCAGGAGATCTCGAATCTTCTCTCCTCCTACTCTACCAACGGCACCAGCAGAAATCGATCCAGCTTCGCGATCGCGCCGGTCGGTGCTTTTCCGCCTTTTCTTATTTCCTGTTTTGTTCGTGAGAAGGCGTAACTTGTTATGAGTTAGTTAACCTATTGTTGGGAACAGAGAAAGCGAAGAGGGACGCGATTAAGAAAGCGGCGCGTGTGTCGGATCTGTTGGTTGATGCCGTGAATGGAGGAGTGCAGGAGTCGTTCATCAACGAGAAGCGAATTGAGCTCGAGATTCGAGCTTTGGCAGCGACGGTTGCTAGGTTCATGAAGCAGACGGATCAGTGGCTGGCTGCCACTCACGCTATTAACACCGCTGTGAAGGCAAGGTTACATTGCATCTTTATGCTTTATTGTTTGGTTTGCTGGAAAAGAATTACATTGAATTGAATTTGAACTGCATAATTGCTTGTTCGAGAGAAAAAGAAATGGTTTTGAGAAATATTCAAGTGATGATGGAAGCTTAGTTGAGTTGCTCATGATGATAAAGTTATTAAAATGTGAATTGGTACCAATCTAGGTGTTTGGTTTTTTTGTTATATATATTGGTTTATGAGTAAGGACACACCTGTTTAATAATACCCAACATGAAATGGTTTATGATCAGTTGAACAACATGTAGACTTCTTTGCATAATGAAAAAAAAAATCTTAGAGTTGCTAAATGATGTTGTACTAAAGAGGAGAAAGATACCAACGAGGGGTTGGATTAAGTGGTAAGCGGCTTGTTCAGTTTAAGTAAGGTCTCGAGTTCGAGAACTTGTGCACGCAGTAGCCTTCGTTGGGAGACTCACCCACCATTTTCAGGTGCGCAACGCTGGTCAGATTCGGATTAGTCGGGCGAAGCCCCGGATACCGGACGGGAAACGAAAAAAAAAAAAAAAATCTTGGAGTTGCTAAATGATGTTGTACTAAAGAGGAGAAAGATGATGATGCTATGTATATAATCCTGATTTATAGGTCACAGGCTTGGTTTGATTTTCTATCAGTTATATGTTTCAGGAAATTGGAGATTTTGAGAATTGGATGAAGACCATGGATCTTGATTGCAAGAGTATCAATGTAGCAATTCGCAACATTCACCAAGAATGAGTCCGAACCAGAGATGAGATGGTAGATCATCTATGTGTTAATGGGTTTTGATGCTCATTTTGACATCCCCGTGTAGGAACATATGTAGCTTACTATAATAGCCTGAAATCTATGGCAAATTTCTTGCGATATGCATTCCTTATTCATTCCAACCAGTAACACAAATAATTAAATCTTTATTCCGAGTCCTCTAAGAACTTAAGCTGTACATAGATTGATTGAGGCGTTGAACAATGCTGTAAGAAGAAGAATGCAAGTTGTTGCACACCTCTAATGCTGTGTCTGCTTCCTTGGAATTTCATCTGATCATCACAGTCGGCGCTACAAATTGTGGCAAAAATGCCAGAAATACATGCGCATTGGAAATGGATGCTGCTAGGCTTGGATTTTTGGGAAGGTCTAGGCATACAAATTTTATTGAGGTTTTCTTTGGGCCCATTTACAATATTTAGGGTTTAATTTAAAATTTCTAATTTCACGTCATTGACCCAAAACAAATTTGGATCTTTCTTAGTATCTTTAAAGTCTGGGTCTACAAGCCTCATTAATAGAAAGGCCCAGTAAGTCTTTAGGTGGAAACTTGGGGGCGAAAGAAAGTATCTCGGAAATGTAAAGAATTCCATTCCAGAGTCTTCTTTCATAATAGACTCATAAATAAACGGCACTAACAGGAGACGCATTTCCTGATCGGTATCAAGGTCATAGTATGGGGAAAGAAGCGGTGAAGATGAAGGCAGTGGTGTATGCTCTGTCGCCGTTCCAGCAGAAAATCATGTCTGGCCTATGGAAGGACATTCCAGGGAAGATTGAGCAGAAGGTGTCCGAGAATTGGCTCAACGCCGTTCTCTTCCTTACTCCTCTCATCACCACCTATGCGTACTTAACCTCCCCTCCTCTTCTCTGAAAACTAACTACTCATGGTTTTTTATTCATAAATTAATTTCTTAAATTGCCGTTCAAAAAAAATGTTAATTTCTTATGTGCAGGTATGCCCAGCATTACAAGGAGAAGGAGAAACTGGCTTATCGTTACTGATTGAGTGCTGAGTTGCTGAGCTGAGAACTCAGCACTCTTCTTGTTCGGATTTTCCAGATGTTTGCAACTTTTCGATTAAGCTATAATATTATTTTGTTTATGATTATGAGTGCTGTCATAACACCAAATCAAATTTGGGTTTATTTTTACTAATAAGATTGATTAAATGTTGAATTGGTGCCAATGAATTTATATTATTATTTGATTTATTTATCATCTACTTCCTGTCTTAATTCCCCAAGACTTAAACATTAATCTGATTTACATTTTTTTATGCTAAATTTAATGATTGAAGTTTTGAATTAAGGATAATAAAAGTTTAAATTCTCGAACATTATAATATTTTATTGTTTATAATAATAACACATTTTCATTATCTTACTTACTAGCCATTATGAAGACTGGTTTGATAGTGTATTTTAAATTTTTAATACCGTAAGAATTATAAACTAAAAACTATTTTATAGTCTAATTTACATTAAATGATAAAATATATTTTTATCAACAATATGTTAATTTGAATAAAGGAATTAAATTTTAAATTTGTGTCTTATGAATGAAAAAATAAACATTAAAAGAATTTCTTTTTAATCAGATATGATATAGTTCGATTATGAATTAATTAAAATTTATTATGATTAATAAAAAAAATAAAATACATTTTTTTTGGTTTAAAAAAAATGAGAATGAAAAACTTTTGAAACTCAAATGGGCGTGGGGAGAAAAAATTGGGCGAGAATTATTTATTTAATTTAGTAGAATTAATATTTAAATAAATGGCAAATCCCCTCGTAAGTCGTAAAGCACAGCCAAAAACCCATGTTTTCCTGTCTTATTTCTGTCGCCATAATCCGGTGGAACTAAATCTGCTCCAGATCGGGCAAGATGAAAATGGTGAGTTGAGACTGTCCTTGACTCGCTTCACAAATTTTTAACATTGGAAGGATTGTACAAATATTCGATTTGGGGGAGGCATCTTTCTCTTTCTCCTCTTTTTCTTTTTCCTTTCCTTGAGGTGGACTCAAGGAGCTGAATCTACAATGGCGGAAAACTCTTACGAAGAGGCTCGCAGGCAACGCCTTGAGGAAAACAAAAGGAGATTTGAGGTTCTCTACATATCAAATCTGAAATCTTTAGCCACTAAC